TTGAAAATGAGCCAAGTCTGCTGGATAATTTTTCTTTTCAGCAGTCAGCAAAGTGCACGGTGAATCGGAAAGTAGTCAAATAGCCACTGAAGATGCTCAAGACATTAATAGTGAGGCTGATCTTGGATTTCATGAAATTTAGCAGTAATGTCTTCTGGCCTCTTAGTGAGCAGTTGCAAGCTATCTGCTAGTTGTTGGTTTTGTTCTAACAACTATACTGCAATAGACACAGGTGAATGGCTTGCCTAAGCGGAATAATGCAATAATAAAAATATTTTTACATCAATACAGAGGGCGAGAAACGCCAATCTTGTAGCTGACTTAACTCTACCACACAAACATACTTCATACGGAGATGACTATGAACTTGTGTGAAAAATGAGAAATGTAACGAATATTAAATTGGCATGATTCACCTTGTGATTTTGACCCTATAGAGTAGTTCTGGTGGCCGCGTTCATTTTATGCGCAGTTTTGATAATATCAGGGACCAAATCAAACAAAACGGCTGCTTGTACGTCATCAACAGAGCCAACCGTGAAATTGTTTTAATATCTTCAGCTTGCGTGAGGATGGGATTAAAAGCTTCTATCGTGTCGTGGTGTAAAGGTACAGTAGAAACTGATACTAACGTGTACTTCAATTTTCAAGGTGCGCGGATACTTATAAGTGCACTATCCATGGTTCTTGAAGGCTTCGCCTTGCATTTGATGCTAAAAAAGCAACTGGTAGTTTTTGCATCAGTAGCTTTGAATACACATTTCGAAAGTCTAAGCCATTTATTCTTTCTAGTTTTAAATTTTCGCAAGCTTTTGAAGCCCCATGTGTGTGAATGAAATTCATAAAACTATTATATTTGTAATGAGCATCACCTGTCAACATTGCAGTCACAAAGAGCTTGTGCTCATGTAAGTCCAATATTCACTTAGAGACAGAAACTAATACGTTATTTAAAATATTTGTGTGGCTTTCGCATTGTGGAATGTGCGGCGCTGGCGAGTACCATACCAAATGCTGTCGTTGCAACTAGGATGCCATTTGAATGAGTGAATAAATGATTTTTATTGCACTCATAACTTATAGAAAATAAGCGCAAACTGTATGGTCCCATAGCCAAAGGCTAGGGTGGGTCCCATTGAAAGAATACATAACTGAAACTGTAATAGTTTTAAATAAAGATAAACAGAAGTAAACAATGCAAATTTGATATCACCATACAAGAAGTAATGTTTTTATGCTAACAACAGTCACTTGAATTTGATTGAACATAGAAAAAAGGAAAAGTACATAACTTGTAGTAAACACAAATATTTGGTGATTATGGGCGTACAGAACTGAAGAATGATACCTGTAATTGCAAGTATCAATAGTAGTTTTTATATGGCTTAATATAGAGAAGAAGGGTATTGAAAACATATTTCAATGAAAACACTAAACACATAAAGGGCAATATATATACATAATGCAAAAATTACAATTTGAAGTATCAGTCAACTCAAGCAGAGAAAATTGCTTCGAAGTAGTATTTTTCAATGATCTGGAAAAGTTCTGTGTATTCTTTATGTAACGTGGTATGCCAATCCAAACTTTCACTCCGGTATATTGTAGTGAACATTTGCTATAGGTGTTTTGTTATGGGCGGTATATTGAAGTTGTTAAAGGTTTGGTTCCTCGTTAGGCGTCGGGGAATACACAGTAATAAAATGGGGATTGGTCCATTGTTCCTAACGACACTGTTAATACATGTAGCTAATTTTAGTTCCCGCACAAAATCAAATGGTAAGATCTTTAACCCAGAAAAAAGTGGTTTGCTATGTTCGTTGTAAGGTGAGAAAGTAATCGTACGTATAGCCCGTTTTCGCAGCCGTCGGATTTGCTCAAGATAAGAGTCATGCGTCGAACCCCAGGACTCTACACAGCACAGAAGGTGGCAGTTAACTAAAGCAAAATACAAAGCGCACAAAATTGTAGTGTCAAAATATTCACGTGCTTGCAAAAGGACGTAACAACTCGAAGCTAGTTTCAAGCTGACGGCTTCTATTGAACTCTGCCAATTTAAACAGCTGTCTAAAAACACCTAGGTAAGTAAAAGAATCAGTACATTCCAAGAAGCAATTATTGATGTAGAGTTGTATATCATGTGGAGTAAGATTTGTACAGGAGTGGAATAACATACATTTTGTTTTCTTGGCATTGATGGTAAGCCTGTTAGCTGTAAACCAATCGGCAAGCTTAGCTAGTTCAGTGTTCATCTGTTCTTCTATGTCTGACAGATTTTTGCCGGTAATAATTAGGGCAGTGTCGTGAGCATACATAGGCATCTCGGCAGTCGTAAGTACTAGAGGCAAGTCATTTATGTATAGCAAGTGAAGTGACGGACCTAATACGGAACCTTTTGGCACACCTGTTTGAATGGACTAGAGAGAAGAAGTACTGTCACTGATAACTACCATCTGCTGTCGACCTTGAAGGTAACTCTGGAGAAAATTTGACATAGTGTTGCGAAAACCATATCTACGTAGTATGTCATGGTATACTGTGTCAAACGCTTTTCTGAAGTCCAGAAAAGCAACTGCGGCGAATTCGTTATCTTGAAAGGCAGTATTTAAAACTTGGCTTAGTGTGAGCACTGCTGTACTTGAAGAGCGCATTGACCAGATGCCATGTTGGTGTGGACATAACACATATTTGCTCAAAAAGGAAATACGTTTTGAAATTATTTTTTCGAAGATATTGTAAGGTACACTTAGTAAAGAGAGCGAATTGGCCGGGTGCCATGTTGGTGTGGACATAACACATATTTGCTCAAGAAGGAAATACGTTTTGAAATTATTTTTTTGAAGATTTGTTAGGTACACTTAGTAAAGAGATCGGGCGGTAGCAAGACGGATCGGACCTGTCTCCCTGTTTGTAAACAGGGGTGACTTTAGCAATCTTGAGTATCGATGGGATTGACCGGCATATAATGAGTGGTTGAATTGGTTACATAATACTTCTCCAATTAAATCAATGTTCTCTTTTATAAGGCGCGCTGGAATCTCGTCAAATTGTCTCTCACGCATATATACAGACATGTGTTTACTGTGCACCAGAAATGCACACGAGCGTAGTAATCATCACTCTATAAGTTAAAGTGCTACGTGAAGGATACGGAACAGTACAACACGATGCAGAATTTAGGTGCTCTCATAGCCAGCTACCTAACTTTTAAAGTGTTCTCTTGAATTTTTGAATTATTTTATAACTCTCAGTATCTGGCAGGCAAATATGATACAGCAGCTTATGCAGTGCCTTGTACATATCAACTCTCGGTAAAAATCTTAGTGTTAGTGTATACAACTATGTATTCTGAAATGAAGTATACACACTAGGGTATGTTTTCTGTTTCTGTGCCTTTTGCCGAGCATAAGTTCCACAATGTGCACAGATTTTGTGTTGACAGTATTGTGTAGGACTGTCTTGTTTTTTCTTTGATGATCTGGAAATCACCTGGCCAGGCTAACTGTGTTTGTGCCATATGAATGCATAGAGTGTACAAAAGAATATGACATACCAGAGAGGGATATACATGGGTCAGCAAACTTACTCATGAGTCGACTAACTCATATTCAGATCAAGCAGCAAGTCTGAGTCGAAGTAAGTATAGGTGAGGAACATTTTGGGAAGCTTTAGTGCAAGAGTCCAATTTAGGAAAATTTCGGTGGTAAGTTTGAGTCAGCCATAAGTGCGAAATGTATTTTGAGTAAGCATGTGTGAGCTTCACTTTTCCGTCGACTTATGGTCCTCTCCACTCATCTTCATTAGTATCAGCCTTATGTCAGCTTATCTTCATGCTTGTGCCTACCCACATACTTCAGTGCATGGCAGTTATAATCATTCTAAATGCTTGTCGATCAGAAGCAGAGCTCACAGAAGTGGGTCGCTTTGGCCACAGCCCACAATCTGTTGTACAGGACAATATTGATAAAAATATCTCGTGGGAGTTGCCTTTCAATAAAACTGTGCTTACTGAATTTCTATTGATAACTCATATTGAAAGGTACGACTTCAAAATGAGCTAAAGAGGGCACTAAATATGTTCAATACTAGCATTGAAGGAGTGCTACAAATTTTGAGTTTTTGTATTGTTGCTTTCAAAAAGAGTTGAGGGGCCAAAAACATATAGTTGTTAGCAGTGCACTTACCATACTTTTTAACACTCTTTCCTAAAAGTTATTTTTGGTTTTAATATTGAGGTGGTGATATTATAGTGATACCTAAACAGCGTGGCATATGCCCAAGTCACAAGAGAATAGTAACAAGCACTGAGTAGATTGCTGTAGGTTGTACGAGTTGCAAGTAAACAGTGAAACGTGAATAGACATGCAGGCTCTCCAAGAGCAAACTCGATTGCACACAGGCAAATAGTTCGCAAACTAAGAGAGCTGTTCTATCTCTATGTGATAATGGGTGTTGTCTAACGGATGCGGGCAATTGTTAACAAAGCTTGGCAAACAATACAGGTGTGCACAATACATTGAATACTCTAAGAATCGCAAAATTGTGTTTTCCATAATGCGCTGGTGCTTTATTAGGCTTCATGGACCAAGATGACTTTGAAATTTGTTTGTCAAGGGCCTAGCGTACTCTTCAGGTCCACAAAAAACTTGAAAATGAAACCAAATTTTCTTATACGTGTTTGCTGGTTTCAGCAGTAATTGCTCGTGTTAACACTAAAAGCCAAGAAAACTAAAGAGCACCGACGCCATGGTTGGAAAAGCTAAATATTGGTTAACATACGCATGAGTCAACTCACTGAAAATTATTGAGCCACAAGTCTAAGAGCGACCGGCTGAGTAATATTTTGGCGAGCTTTAGTACAACTGAGTTTGGTTGATGATAATAGTAAGGAATGTGAGTTCGAGTGCGATTAGTTGAAGAAAAGTCTTAGTCCAAACCCCAAGCACAAATATATCTCTTTAGTCCTCCAGAACGCATCTAATCAGAACGCGCACCTAAGCATACTTACCTGGTGCTGGGGTAACCATGGTCAACATGGTGGTGCCCCCAGGAAGAGGCACGGGCATTGCACTGCGTTCGTGCTCACCCCTGCCACTACCCCAAACTGGGGCAGATAGGGCATGCAATTTTTCGTAGATGTGTCTTCGTCTTCCCACTAGAACACATACCAGCAGAACATGTCCCTCCAGAACACACAAGCCTAGGTCGGCGTTGCCACCAGAACTCATCTCATCCAGACACACTAGAGTGAAATGTTCCCACCAAGACACAGCACAACAGGCTGGTGTTCAGACCAGGACACATCAACGTGATTTTTTATATTCACCGGATCACCCTAGAACACACCAGAAACATTCTCGTGGGATTTTCAACTGAGCTTGATTAGCCCCAAGGCTTTACGTACGACCTTTATCATACGCTTTCGTAGAAGAGAATACTCACTTTTTCTCTCTTCCTCTATCTCTCTCTCTCTCTTAGCCTAGAATCTTAAAGGTTTTGCTTGCTAGTGAAATATCTGCAGCATAGCACACTTTAGAAAACCAATACTACCTGCTTATTTCTGGACGCCACACATGTTGCCTCAGGTCCCAACGCGTACAGAAGGTGGCCTCGTCACTGTAAAAAAACGGCACCCCAGTTGTCTGGCGTCCAGTTTTCGACAATGGAAGTGAAGATCGTGTGCTGCTGTTTTTGAGTTTGTGCAAACTGGGTTCTATGATCAGCAATTCTGTTCTTATCGCTGCTGAATGCAGCCTCCCTCGCATGGTTTGCGTGAACACGTCCAATTCTAAAATATTGTGAGTTTTCCGGGTGGTCAAAAACGGCTTTTCAACTGCATTGGTTGAAAAGTCGTTTCTCACCACGTGGAAATCAGTCGATTCTTCACGTCGGTTTGAGCCGTTTCTCACCTGCGACGGACACCATCAACAAGACGACTTACCTCGTAAAATTCTCGGAGCGCTCGTTTCACAGTTGCAACTGGTTTTTCTATAGCCGCTAATATGGCTCCATGGCGGTGCGTCCCATTACCGTGATGGCTCTTCTTTCAGGTAGTGTCAAGCGTGGGGCCTTGGTGGAGTTCTAGAGAGTTTTCTTGCGTCGCCTTACGAGCAAGGAGCCCGACGGGAAAATCTGCAGAGAATTTATAGGTGGACAGAAATCTGCTGTTGTGACAATTTGACCGCGAACGGCAGATCAACACGCATCATAGCTTTATTCGCGCGCTGACAACGGCTCGCTTCGCTTTCATTTTTTTCTTTTTTTGTAATTTAATGTTGACAGCGCTTCTAATGGTCAAAGCAGTTGTTGAATAGGTGACCAGAAAAATGGGCAATTGCAAAGAACTGTGGGATACGACGGCTTCTGGTTCGACGCACTACACGGGTCAGCCGTGGCACGCGCGCATTTTTGTACTGCTTTGTTGAAAAAAAACACCTCGCCGTGCAATGTCGGTGCTTTAGAAGTTTTTTTTTTGCCAACCGTGACTGTGACGATGAGAAGCTACGAAAGCCATGAACGGTCTGGAAACATTTTTATCGCACTAAACTGATGTGCAATGCTTTTATGCTGCTTAAGGGTGCTGTCAGTTTGGCTAGCTGATCAGTCAATACGCAAAACAGTTTTCATTGTATGATATGGTACTGCAGATAATAAGTCACCTTTTTAAAGATCTAAGGGGTTGGGGATGGCTGTAGCAGTGTGCTAGGAGTTCATTTCGGGATCGCTGCTACGGCCGAACACGTCAGTCGATTGGCATGAAGCGCAGCACTTATGGAACGCGTTGAGATATTTTTTCTAGCCTTCAGCGCGCTATAAAAAGCATTTCTTAGTCGAAGGCAGATTCTTATTTGAACGCTGATCTTGGTAAGCTGCACGACACGGCGGCACATGAACGATGCAGTAGACATTGACGGCGCCGAATAATCGAAGCCCTGCGCTTGTTTAACGCACTTCCTTCTTTGGGTGGATCATGGCGCACAGTTTAACCAAGATAAACGCAGACTCGTCCAGCGCTTCGTGTAAACTCACTCTTGAGTAAAGCTCTCGCGTTTTTTGCCAGGTATATGGGTGCAATGGCTGGCGCTCATCTCGTATGGCAGGGAGAGTTCGCCCACGCAATTCTATAACAATTTTTCTGGGCGCGCCTCAGCGACAATTTATTCCTCAATATAATATTCATAGCGAATTCATGCGTAAGATTTTTTTTAGCGTAGAATACACACGTACCTGTGATAAAATGGTTTTCGCACACTCTGGCTTTTACTTTCCGTTCCCAAAGGCTACCTGTCGCTGTGGCTTTCTTCACAGCCGCGGCCCACCTTTTTTTTTTCTCGTTCCATGGGAATTATACCTACGTTTGGCTTTAACGTTCGAGTAGGAGCAGCCAACAGCTGAACAACCGACCACATTTTATAAGGACGAAGATAAACGGGCGGCCGCATGCGCGAATCCCAAATCATTGGAGGCTTGCGGCGAAGCAGTTTGCCGTCGTCTACTCTTCTCGATCCGGAAGCCGGTAGCAGACGGTGCATCCCACAATCCCTCGCTCTTTTACTGGTCACCTATTCGTGGTGATAACCAAAGATAGAAAATGCAAGGTAGTCACATCAGTGGCGCTGCGCGTGTTCAGAGATGCACTGTTTTCAGCTGTAGATGTCGATGGTGCAGTTCGGAGCACGATACTCTCTCGTTAAGGGTATGAAAGTTGACCACCTTACACCGGTAGTAGGAATCAGTGTTTATATGTGTTAGTAAATGTGGCTATGGCAATCATGCCGCATATGCGAATGCGACGGCGAGTGAATGCTCGCACTCGTAATTTATGTTTTTATGCTAGCAAATCAAGTTGTGTTCCTATAAATTTTATATATAGCATTGTCATCCCTGTTGCATTACCGAAACTAGCTGCTTTTTTCCATGGCCCATGCTCGCATACACGTGCCTATTTCAACTTTGTCCTGTTTGCTGCGTCGACAAGGCAGCACACTTCGCGGACAAAGTTCCACATGCACCACGTCCTATGGCCGATTGCTTCCACAGATCCACACCTAAAGGAGCGATCAGATGCTCTTCGACAAAACACCCTTACTTACTTGGTAGGTAACCATCCAGTGTACAACAGGGAAGAGCCACACTTGCCTGCTATCGGAGGAATGCTCCTGTGTTGTACCCGTGGTTCGCCAAACTCACAGCCCCGAGCTCCCGCCTGTAGATGGAGTCGTAGTCAAAAAGCGTCTATTGCACACTCTTGGTCGACAAGATGGAGTGACAAGAGCGCTCAATTTTCTAAGGCGTGGTGGTGTGGCTCAAGCAGCGGTGAGCTTTCACTGCAAGGATGCGGTCATGAGTCATATCTCGGCTGAAATCAGAGAATTGCTTGCATACATTTCTACGCCCTGTGACCACGTAGACAGCACACTGCACAAACCCCATTCCTCTCCTGTGACATTGGATAAAAATGATTTAGCTGCTAGCACTACTTCTTGAAAGATTACAATTTGTTACTATCAAATTCACTTAGGCACGTTTTCAGTAAAAGTGTGATTGTTTTTCTTTTCTATCAAAGACACAGATTTCTCGCCTCCAAAACTCTCTAATCCCGTTATTATGACTAATACGGTCGAAAGCATGGCTCAAGTGTATGCCACGCAAAACATCGAATTGTTCGCAAATCCCTCACCACTTCTTTAAGTGAACAGGCTCTGCGAGATCCGCGTGCAGTGCAAGCTTCTCACGCAACCCACCTGCGTCGACACTTTTTACGGCGTTGATAACCTAGACCCAGACAACAGCGCGGTCAGCGTGGTGTGAGTTGTACCAGTCGTCTTCTACGTCCGCCGAGGAAGGTGCCTCACATTTGAGGTAACAGCCGTACCAACAAATGTGCTTTTCTTAAACGCCCTACTACGGTTGACCCGGTTCCGGTTCGTTTTTTTCTGTGTGAGCACGGTTTTCGACCGGTCCAGTTGTGACGACAACTGTTCGGATTCGGTCGCAGGAAGCGGACCCGCATGCTCCCTTGGTAGTTGATTGCCAGAAAAAAGAACGGTGCCCCAAGACGTCATCACGTCCGCTGATCTAGGAACATGGCACTCTGCTGAAGTGACAAAGCGAGTGGCAAGGCCTAGTAAGGCACGCGCGTAAAGGAAGCTTATTTGCACGTTATTGCGTTTACCACTAGAGCAAATGAGCATCCACGGATTTATTCTTCGAAAAGCAGCAAGCCGGCGCAACCTTCTTGCTCTCACCAGTGGCTGTGATCACCAAGAAAACCCGACAGAGGTTAGGTTTAAGCGAGAATGAGATTCAATGATTGATTGATATGTGGCGTGGAACTTCTGAAAAGCACCATATGATTATGAGACGCCGTAGTGGAGGGCTCCGGAAATTTCTACCAACTGGGGTTTTTTAACGTGCACCCAAACCTGAGCAGAAGGGCCTACAACATTCCCGCCTCTATCGCAAATGCAGCCGCCGCAGCCGGAATTTCAATGCCGTGACCTGTGGCTCAGCAGCCCAGTACCTTCGCCACTAGACCACCGCGGCGAGGCAAAGCGAGAATCAGAGGCAGCTTATTTATTGTGTTTCGTGCCATTGTTTGCTTTGCTATAGCTTTGCTTTTAGAACTGCAGTATCCTAAGCTGCAGGTGTGATCTGGAAATAACACATACTTATCGTACAGTAAACTCAAAGTGTTCGATCGACGGAAACAGCCTATGCTATTCGTAGAGTCCCGCGCGATATGAAGGTTATTGCGCGAGCGCCTACCAAGAACTACCACAGCGCCACGTCCCAGAATGCTCTTTCGAGGAGAGGTTGGCGTCGTGAAAGCTCCACTTACTCTCTTCGCTGCACTGCAAACAGCGATCACTCCCGTCTTACGACTCTTAATAAACGCAGGAGTGTCAAGCTCCAGCTTTAGCGTATCTTTTCAAGCAATTTTGCAATCACCTGCAGGAATAAGAGCACGCAAAAATCCACTCTATCGCAACAAATGGAAGGCTCGAAAGAGTGAGGAAGGGTGTACAGTTGAAGTATTGGCGATAATAGAATGAAACAGCCAACGAGGGAGAGAAGAATGCGCGATCTTGATTCCCATAGTTCTAGAACGTGTCGCTAGGCCCCTGGGACGTTAAGCAGGTCGACGCTCGTGCGATAA